GTTTTAAAGGCCCACTCATTACAGACGCTCAAACATATTTTCGCAAGTTGCCTTATGCATTCGTAGAGGGCCCTTCGCAGATTGGCATAGTTGGCATTTAATAATTGTACTTTCAATAGACATTCATAGTTTGAAAAGCCTAGTGTTGCACACACAGTTGTTCGTTCCCTCAAGGCGTGGTTGAGGCATACATAGAGACCGAAGCTAGGCTAGTAATTGAGAAGGTGATTCCCACGGGGCCTGCTTATGATATCGCGGTCTACTGTGAAGGCAAACCTCAAGCGTCGTCGAAGTTTTGGAATTGCCGTGTTTGCAATTTTTGTGTAATAGTTTCACGCAATGTACACATAATACTCAACGGCCTCACCTCTGCCAATCGCTACTGCATGTAATGATAATAATAATAATAATAATAATAATAATAATAATAATAATAATAATAATAATAATAATAATAATAATAATAATGGAATGATAATTTTCATTATCACAACAATATGAACTTTCGGGTAGCATGCAAGGCTAGAGAGGAAATTTTCTTACATTCGTCAGTTTGGCAGCCCGTCATCGCAGGGCAAAAGAGACCGGAGGCTACATATATGAACTTCTCAAGCTGCTTATGGCAGCTTTTATCTTAGCCCCTGCCACTGTGTAACTATGTGTACAAAGGAAAAATATAAATGAATAAACAAACAAACGAACATGTTGCATGAAGCAGAGTCGTCATTGCGGTCATCACTGTTGGAGTGCGGCGCAAAGCAAGTTGGTGTGCTTCACTGTAGATAAATCTGCTCTTCCTCAGCACACTTGATACATGACAAACACGTTTTCATACAAGAAACTACGCCGTGTCAAGAAAAGCCCGAGGAGTGACTTGTGAATACAGCGCACCATTCGCGATAACCGCTTGCCATCGCCTCCACCGATTACAAAACGCATGCCTCGGGCCTCAGGAGCGAAATTAAGCTGCAGCGCCACAGTTACCGCGACCGCCACCCGGCCCGCCTCTCCGGCAGAGCTTTCAAACTGAGTTTATTCTAGTATTGTTGTTATGCAATATACTCGGCTGCTTTACCAACACAACAAGTCTTCAGCCTTAGCAAGTGTCACATAGTGATGTGGGTGACGTAACGGGCAATATCGCCATGAGCCTTAATAGCTTGATAATGCACCACTTTTAGAGTGATTCTAGTGAATTTTATAATTGCAGGCTTATTTCATGGTGTCAAGACATTATTGAAAAAGCTCGTTTTGCAAAACAAGTTGATAGAGTATGGAACCAAAGCCACGTTCATGGCATCAGCAGCATGGAACATAAGAGTGGTAGATGTATACCTACCGTATATACTCGTGTAAGGGCCGCCCTCGTGTAAGGGCCGCACCCCAACTTTGAAAGCGGATATTTCGAAAAAAAAAAAACAAAAGTTCAAAATGTCCCGCCAGAAAAGTGTAGTTAGTTCATTTACAGCCAGATGGCGCTGCACGCTTTTCCGCTTTTATTCTACTTCCGCCGACGCGCCCATGACCTACTACACTCCTGACCTGTTCAGATAGCGGGGTTCCTATGGGAGCGCGTGTCCCCGCTCTCGTTCAATCGCTCGCCGTAGGTGGCGCTACCTATAACCTGTTCGTCTGCTTCTTTACGGTTGTTTTGTAGGCGCTGGTATAAGAATGCCTGCTTTCTGTGGTGAACTGTCGGCATATATGTGACTATTTCTTCCCATACATTGCTGGTCAAGTAAGCTGTTCAGTGCGCTTAAGAATTTATAGCACACTGGTTGACAAACGTGGAAACCCGTGGATTTACATGATTTTGGACAGCCTATGCGTTGTCGCGTGCATTTTATTGCAAAAAAAATTCTGAATGTCTTTTAGTATTATTATTTCTGGATATTTCTAAATTGTGGATCATAAATTCGCACTACGAGTGCTTTGTTGGTTAAAATTTGACTACAAAGAGTGAAGGTGACGTCAGCGAACAGGTGCTGCCTAGCGCCACGCCGCTCGTAGGTGACGGCCCTAGCGGCAGAAGGTATGAACTAGAACGTGGGCGCTGGAAGAGGTGCTCTCTGGGCAGGTCAGGAGTGTAGTAGGTCATGGACGCGCCGACCACGCTGTTGACAGCGCGCCGCCATATTTGCCTTGTGCGGCCTCTTTGTTGGCATCGTTCCTAGCATCGTGTCGATACGTTGGCAGCGCGACTTCAGATCGGTGTCGTCGGTGTCACTTTGTTGGTTGTAGTGAACCCTGCAGAAGCCAGCGCACGTGACGGACGATGGGCCGGCATCTGAGATCATTCACTGCAGCATTTAAGCTGCAAGTGATTGACTATGCCGAGGAGCACGGGAAGCGGGAAGCTGGACGAAAGTACGACGTCGATGAGAAGCGCGTGCGTTACTGGATGAATCAGAAAGATGCCCTCGCCGCTACTAACAGGAGCCGAAAGGCGTTTCGCGGGAAAAAGTGCAAGTACCCGCAACTCGAAAGCGAGCTCGTCAACTACGTCGTCGACACACGAAGGGACGGCTACGCCGTATCGACTGACATGATACGCGTCAAAGCCCTCAGCATCGCTCGCCACATGGAAATACCCCCGGCACAATTCAAGGCAAGTCGGGGCTGGGCTACGCGATTTATGAACCGTAACCAGCTTTCTATTCGGCGCCGAACGACGATTTGCCAAAAACTGCCGCGCGAGTACGAAGACCACGTCATTAAGTTTCATCGCTTCGTGAATGCTCTCAGGAGGGAGCATGAATACGACCTGTCCCAAATTGGGAATGCGGACCAGACACCTGTGTGGTTCGATGCACCGGAAAGCACCACAGTGGATTTAAAAGGTGCGAAAAGTGTGTCTGTGCGCACGACTGGTGCAGAACGCCAAAGGTGCACTGTGATGTTGTGCATCACGGCAGACGGCAGGAGGCTTCCGCCGTACGTCGTATTTAAAAGGAAGACTCTCCCAAAAGAGAAGTTCCCTCAGGGAATCGTCGTACGTGCGCAAGAGAAGGGCTGGATGTCCGAGGAACTGGTCGTTGACTGGATTAAGACCGTCTGGGCAAACAGACCTGGAGGGCTGTTACAACGGAAAGCCCTCCTTGTTTTGGACAGCTTTAGGGGCCACTTGACCGACCGCGTCAAGAACCGAGTTGCCGCAACTCGTACGGACTTGGCCGTCATTCCCGGTGGCCTGACGAGTGTGCTGCAGCCGCTCGACGTATGCGTCAACAGACCATTCAAAGTGGAATTTCGCCGATGTTACTCTGAATGGATGGCTGGAGGCGTCCACGAGAAGACCCCTACAGGACGGCTGAAGCGGGCGTCGCTCCAACAGGTGTGTGAATGGATTTTGAATGCGTGGCGTGCCATGTCAGTAGAAGTAGTTGCTAAAAGCTTCAAGGTAACGGGAATTTCGAACTCCATGAACGGCACCGAAGATGACCGTCTCTGGGAAGACGCGGACGCCGAGGCGAGCTCCTCCGAGAACGAGGACAGCGAAATGGAATCCGAATAAAAACATTTCTGGCATGTCATTTGTGACTCTTGCACTCTGCTACTGTTGCATAAACAGTACAGACCTTTGGCCTGTACTGCCTGTACTAAATCGGCCTGATTCGTGTAAGGGCCGCACCTAGCAAAATTTTCGAAAAAAAAGTGCGGCCCTTACACGAGTATATACGGTAGTCACATCAGATCATAACATGATAAAGGATCACATTTTCGAGCTTCTCTATTTGAGCTTCTATAAAGGGTTTTCCATTAGAGTTTCACTATGCTGGCTCACTGCATGCTCAACTACAGTCTACCTGCATCAAATTTGTCCCAGTGAAGCGGAAATGGTTACGAGCCCTTTCAATACAAAAGCTCATTTTAATGAAAACGTAATTTGCACCGCGCGGAGAGCTATGTCGCCCCCATTTCGCACGCCACAAACCTGTGTCCATGAGTGCAGAAAACTAAAGAGTAACCTAGCGAGAGGTCCAAAAGAGAGGTCCTAATAACCTAAAGAGAGGTCCTCAGCTGTGCGCCGACCCGGAAAAGTTTCCATGAGCTGTACATGGGAAAACACCCGGACCTCGATGACAAGCTTTGTGACATTCTTGAACAGCTCCCCGTAGACTGAGCTCATCAAGGTAATAGCCCTTGAAGCGGAATGCGATCAAGGCACTCAAGAAAAAGAGATGCCAGCCAAGTAAATTTCACTTTCTCCAAAGGTGCATTACTTTTTTTATTCCTGCTTTTTTTTACTTTGATTCATTAACATAGAATTGTTTCAGAGTTTTAAAATATCATTTATAAGCACTGTGACTTTACTTTTAGCGAATAATGTTTCTATATTTTTCAAAAGTTCGAATAGTTCGAATAGGAATATTCCAGTGCAAATCCAACTGAATTTTAAAAATATTGGAAAGTTTGAATATTTGCACACCCCTAGTAACACACTATCTTAATATTGGCACATGTTCTGTATTTTTCTAGTCCGTATTATAGCTAATAATTAGGCAATTTTACACACCGAACCCAAAATAACATTATGAGACAATCCAAAGCAGGGCATATACATCTGTTTGACGATCTTGGTTTTTCAAAGAGCAGCTGAATTTAAATACACGGGTGTTTAGCATTTTTCCTTGATAGAAACACAACCACATGGGCCAGAAATCAAACCCTTTTACTCAGCCATCGCAGTGCAACAAGTTGCTGCTAAGCCGCGAGAAAGCTGCTAAGCCACAGTTAAGACTGATCATGGTCACACCTTATAGGCAATGCAAAGTTTTGACCAGGTATTTTGCTTCTGAGCACTTGCAATATGGAAATCTAATACATTTGAGCCAATGAATAACCATGTTTATTATTTTTGCATTCAGCGACTGAACGAATTAAACGACTGAAAGGATATCTGAAGATTTGTCGGAATAGGAACTTTTTCAGCAGTGCAAGTGGTGGCAGGCCGTAAATGTTCTGCAACTTGCACAGACAAACGTCCAGGAAGCCTCAAAGCCAAAATAACGTGCAGCCTTGCTTTATTACATAACTACAATGTTCAAGGTATAGGGCTTTCACTAGCGCAAATCAATTTGAGCGCGTCCTATGGTTGAGCACCTTGTAGAGCCACCTTATGCGTTTCTGGAGCTTGTGAAAGTCGGTGGGCCGCGTCTCGCGCCAGTGGTTGACGACGGCCCTCTTGCGCAGCAGCATCTGGAACTCGTTGCCCTGGAAACCTTGCAGCCAGCCAGGTACACCCCTCATGATGTGGATGGGCTTCAAGGTGCCATTGCCCAGGATGTCTGTAATAGCGCAAAGTGTAACAGTTGAATAACCACGTCTATGGGAGTTTTCTTCGAAACTTGACATTTAAAGGAGCTCAGAAATGTAGAAGCCCGGGCAAGTTGGTCTGGTTTCATGACGGTGAATTTAAAAGCACGAGAACATAAGAAAAAACTTGAGACAAAGTAGAAAAAAGTGCTGAAAAGTACAATTCAGCTCTCGTCTCTATACTGTCCCAAATTTCTTTCTTTTTATGTTCTCGCACTGTTAAGTTAACCATCACTTAACGAGGCCTTGCAATTATTAAAGAGCTTATTGCCTCACGAATGAACAGCCACAAAAATTTTTAGAATCTGTGAAACGCGAGCTAAGTTACGAGGATTTGTTGCAGACTGAAAACTACATAGTGGGGGTGACCCAGAAGGGCTAAGAGCTAGGTCCGTTCACGAGCATGTGTCCTGACCTTGAGCACCTTCTTTTCACTTTCAATGCCTCGCTTACTTTCAACATGATCATCAGCACACTGGTAAAATTCCATAAAGCATTTGATTCTAGTGCAATAGACCGCAGTGCGGGTGCATTGCAACATTACAAAGCAGCCACAATAACTATGCAGCTCAAGATGGTCAAACCAGCCTATGGACGTGGACTCTGTGCTCAAGACACGGTCATTCTGGACAATGCCATCATTTGTAAAAAAAGAACGAGCGATTTCTAGCTGAATTTCAAAATTCATAATAAATTCCAGGTAGTGTGTGCTGTGCTCACGTGTTCTCTAGAGTCTACAGTACCAATCAACAGCATTTTTTGACCATGCTCAAAAAAGTGCTAGGACCCCTTTGGGAAAAAATCTCCTTTACAAAACACAGTCATAAAAGAAATGATATCAGACATTTAACATGACATTGCCTTCTTTTTCTACTATGAATCTCATCTAGAGTGGCTCTTTTATAGTCGGATAGAGGCCCAGCCCAGACGGTCGGAACACGGCAGCCAATCACCTTCACGACTAGAAAAATACAGTCAACCTCAGATATATCAAACTCAAATATATCGAATTATTGGCCATATTGAACAGTTAGGAAATCTCCTTGAATTTTCAATGCAAACGCATGGGACCAGTGCACCCTTATATCGAACTCCAGCACAGCGGGACATCTGCTATATCGAACGCTGTGGTGCATCCAAAAAGTACAGTTTTCCTAGCAAATATTGACCAATTTTAGGCCACGTTCTAACAAGTTCTGATCTTTTCTCGCGCGCAGCCGATGAAAAAACGGTGTTATTCCATCACGCTGATCTCGTTCGTTGCGCGGCACTTGCAAGTACATCTGTATGTTTGATGCGCGATCTGCAGGTCATAGCACGCGGGCATAGTGTATTAAGACCGATTGTCGAGGGCACGGAAGTGAGAATGCGAAATGACTCGGTGATCTCATTGCAATGTTTGCATTCCCTTCCTTGCTTGTTAGCGCAGAACGGCATGCGAGCCTGAAAAGCATGGCCTTCAATGTGCAACCTTGCGACGTATTTTTATGGCATCTTCGGCTGAGGTGCACTGGCACTGTGACGGTGCAAGGGAAGTTATGTAAAACACTGCCCGAGTTTCACGCCCCACTACGGGCCAGACAAACGTGTGAACCACAAGATTTGAATCTACGACAGCAGCACCGTCTGCAAGAGATGCCATTCAGCAGATCTCAATTTCCAGCGTCCTGTTTGTACTAAAGGAATAAAACAGAAAATGACAGAAATCCATAATGAGAGACATTTAAGAGATGCCACGTTTCCAGTGGGTGCGCGTCTTTTCTTCAGACGGTTGTGCTGCATCAGTTCTGTACCAACCCCATGAAGGTTACGGTAATTTTTTACGGTAAGACAGCGCGCGTGGGCTGATGGGATTGCACCCCACACCTCTGTCGACCTCCACACTGCCGCGGTAGTGTGCACTCGCATCGTGGCTAGCCCAGCTGAACATAGGGCACCACATGCATGGTACCCAGACAAACGTACGGCACCGCACGAGTGCACAGAAAACGTCACCGGTGCCCCAGCCGAAGACGCCATTAGTGTTTTTGGTTATAAAATGCACATCTTGGAGGCTACCCTTTTAGGAGCAAAGCTCCTTATGGCATGGCTTGTGCGTCCCCCGTAGTCATAGTGCGTAACCTGTGGCACATACTCGCACACCAGTGGCACATACCCGCCATCGGGCACATATCCGCATGTCCACATGTTACGAAAAATGTAACGAGGCGGCGTTATCACGCTGTCGGTCTTAAAGTGCTGACAGCATAAATGTGGTACATACTCTCGTTTAGTCCATAAATTGTCCACTGGATGGCAGTACTTGTATATGATGAATATATTGTAAGCACATTCCAAGCATTTGATCGTTCTCACTTGCACATACCCATCATCATCGTTCTCACTTGCACATACCCATCATCATCGTTCTCTCTCTTGGGGTGGTTCTGAGCGGAGCCAGACATCGCAGAATAAACGCTTCTGCTCGCCCTGCCTGCTCGCCGTACCTAGTCTGCCTGCGTCTTTCAGAGTGGTGGAAGTGCCGGGGTAAGATCCCGACGTCCTCCTACGTTCATTTCCCACCTGGAGCTCCGATCTGGTCGCCGATTGCACCCAGCCACCCACACAGGTATGCAGACATCGGACCTAACGCCTAGCCCTAACGCTACAGCCCCTACGCCGGCGGCTGCCCGCTCTTCATCTACTGTCACCAGCCCTCAGCGCGAACCGCCCGTGTTCGCGGGTCTTCGCGGTGACGACGTCGAGGAATGGCTTGACCTTTACAACCGTGTGGGTTCAGCCAATCGATGGACCGAAGCAGAGAAACTGAGCTACCTTCCTTTCTATTTGACCAGCGTAGCCAAAACCTGGTATTTTAATCACGAAACTGACTTCGTTGATTGGTCGACCTTTGCCAACAAACTGCGACAAATATTCGGATGCTCATCGGGTCGTTCCGAAGCCGCGAAACAGAAGCTGGCTGTGCGTCTACAACTGGCACATGAGTCGTACACTTCGTATATCGAGGATGTTTTGGCCCTCTGTCGCCGTGCGAATAAAGACATGACGGAAGATGAGCGCGTTCGCCACATCCTTAAAGGAATCGGCCCAATCGCATTCAACGCCTTGGCTGTTGGCAATCCCGCTACGGTTAACGACGTCATTTCGACATGCCAACGCCTTGACCAGTTGCAGTCCCTTCGGCTTCAACAAGACAGTGATCCACGCCTGATGCCTCCCTCTGAATTAAAAACCCTTATCCGCACAATCATCCGGGAAGAACTTCGAGACCTTGAACAGCAGCGGTCCACTGTCGCCTCCGCTCCGTCTCCACCATTCGACCTGCGGAATCTTGTTAAGCAGGAGTTAGCGGCAATGGCGACACCGACATCCCCGGTCGCTCCGCCAGCACGCCCGATGCCCACATACGCCGATGTGACGCCCAGGTCGACACCGGCAGCACCGGTTGTTCAAACGGTAATGCCCACATATGCGGAGATCGCTGCGATTCCGCCTGCTCCCGGGGCATCTAGCTCTACGGATACTGCTAGTAGCCATTTGGCTGCTATGCGAGGTGGAATGACTGCTGCACCCTTGTATCCTCAGTGGCGTCAATCCCGTCCTGTTTGCTTTTACTGCGGTATATGAGGCCACATTTCTCGTTACTGCCGTCGCCGCCAGCAAGAGGAACGACGAGGCTATGCTGAGTTCGAACGAGACCGGTTCCGAAGACCAGATCTTTATGCTCCAGACACCTACCCGTCCGCGCAGTACCGGTCTCCGTCTCCTCCAGTGTCCCCTCGTCAACATCAGGAATACCGCTCCTCCAGACGACGCTCTCCATCGCCCTATCGCCGCTCCGCATCGCCGCTTCGTCCAATCATCTCCCGTCCTGTTGACCAATCTTCGGAAAACTAAGGATTGCAGTTTTTGGAGGGAAAACTGCGTCCCGTCGACCAACAAAAATACCTCCTGTTCGCCCAGCTAATATGTTGTCAGTGATTATTGAAGGTATTCCTGTGCAAGCTCTCGTTGACACCGGTGCAACCACTTCTGTTTTGCGTAGTGACTTGTGCTCGCGCCTCCGTAAAGTCAGAACGCCCTATGTGGGACCTGTGTTGCGTGGGGCAAATAACGTGCTGATTCAACCTGACGGACAGTGTACGGCTCGTGTTTCTATTGATGGTATACGTCACCACATCGAGATGATTGTGTTGCCCACGTGCATTCATGAACTTATCCTTGGTTGGGACTTTCTGCATTCTGCTTCCGCTGTTATATCCTTTAAAGAGAACGTCATTCACATAACGGATACAACGGATGCGCCCATTCCAGTTTCATCACCCTCGATCTCCAACTTGGTCATTGTTGAAGACTGCGTCCTGCACCCTGGTCACGAACACGTGATAGCTGTCGCATCTACCCAAGTAACCGACGGTGATGCACTTGTGGCTCCTTCGTTTCGCTGCACCTCCCGTGGAATTCTCGTCGCCTCTTGCCTCCTCCGGTTTTCCTCTGGCTGCGCTTTTCTGCCCGTTTCTAACACAACTGCAGAATCTGTGCTGCTGCCCAAGGGAATGACAGTGGCAAAGATTGACTTCTCTCCATTGACCTCCATCGCGACACTCTGCCCGTCTTCGTCACCAGTACCAGCTCCAGGTTCACGTTCTTTCCCTTTTCGACCTGTCATTGGTTCAGACCTCACACCAAAACAGTCTGAAGCACTATTGGCCCTTTTGGCTAAGCACAAAGCCTGCTTTGATAGCTGTACCACAACACTGAGTCAGACTTCCGCGGCTGTACATCGCATTGAAACCGACGGTTCTCGTGTGATACGCCGTCGCCCATATCGGGTTTCGCAATCAGAGAGAGAAATAATTGAAAAAGAAGTGAACGAGATGCTATCGCGAAATATAATACGACCTTCTTCGAGTTCCTGGGCATCTCCAGTCGTTTTAGTTAAAAAGAAGGATGGCTCTGTTCGTTTTTGCAT